GGCAAGCAGGAAATGTATGTGGGAAACATCTCAAAATTTTAATACTTTTTATTGGAATATGATATATTTTTATGGCATAATCTATATTTCAATGGCTTTTAATGTACAGATCGACTGTATTTTGGTCGGTTCTTAAAATGTTCTATATAAAGTGAACAGACAAGGATATTTTAAAGCCATACTATGTTAAAATAACATTCCTACAGTATAATGTCAATACATGTTCACTAAAAAAAACCAGATCTATTATATTAAAAAAATGACATTGTTTTGAAATGCCTGTCAATACCGTCTTGAGTTTTAGAATGATATATGAATGATATACTAGTATTTAAATCTAAAGTAGAATTAAAAGTAGAATTACTTCCAGTTATTCATATATTCTCAAAGCTTGTATGCGATAGGTTTTACTTCGAATTACAAAGAAATGGGAACAAAACATTGCTCAATCTATAGCAAGTTATCCTTGAAGATGTCGTTCTGTGCATGTTCATATGCAAATTTTAATAAAAAAGGATTTGAATCCCGATTGAATGATAACTTTTGTCCGTAATGTCTATTTATTATGCTTATTTGTATGTTTTCTTCCAAAGCATAGCGTCGGAGATAAAATGGTCAGATGCTGATAGAAATGCGTATTTGCAGTTTATAAAATGACAACTCATATACCTAATGCATCAAACTGGACAATGTTATAAATGAGCATGTCTTAGTCATTGAATGGCGAAAACATGATTGTTTAATACCAAATTTGATAATTATGCTTTAGAACATTATTCACATGATATTTTTTTTCTTAAAATATCAATTAAATCTTTTCCTGACAGGTATGGTTTAAAGAAATATTTCAATACAACTAAAATGATTAATTATTCATTAATACCGTGACCAAATCTAAATGCATAATACAAAATAAGACATTTATCTCAAACTGACAAAGTGTGTCATATCAAATGCCATAAAATGTCTCAGAGTAATAACATAATATCCAAATGAAAATTATGCAAATACGAGCGCCAGTATTTCTCAATTGTATGTCATACTAAAGTATGAAGGAATCGATATATTAACCATCTGCCCTACAACAGTTTCGTGTTATACTGAAATACTTATCAAAGAATATAGCTACGTTATAAACATAAAGCATTGAGCTTTTAATTTTGAAAGACTTTTGCATACGCATTAGTTCAAATAATAACTGATATAATACATGTATTAAGAATAGACCATATAACACAAAATTTAATATCATAATGAACCTATCATGTCTATCACTCTACCAATTTGACAAAAAAAACACTGTTGCAATATAATAGCATTTAATTTTCACTTTTCACAGGATTGCAAGAGTGTGTTTTGAAGTAAATGCGTTTAGATGAATTATCCTTATTAATAAAATAAGACACATACCAGTTAATGTTATTAATTTCAATACCCGCATGTTGCCGTTCTATTAAGTTAGTAAGCTAATAGTTTTGAACTTAATTTGATGTTTAGCTACGAGTATTTCAGAAAATGTCATTAAAATGCTGCAAATGTTACATTGTCTTCAAATGAGAAAACAGTGAGAAATGAAATAAAATAACAAAAGCATCAGCTTATAATATACTGAATGAACTGGGTCTTTACAGAGCTGACTTGTTCGTCACACAAAAGTATTTTGTCTCAGTTCTAGAAAGTGATCCAATAGTTAATAGATCTACTACAAATCAGAAAATATTGAGATGGACATTATAAGTTAAGCAGTTGTAAATGGCGCAATTGTAAAAGGAATGCTTTATAAGAAAGATATAGCCTTTTGAAATATATTTTCAGATAATTATGTAGCTAGTCTTATTATCAATTACACTTTTCATTCATACGTGTTGCCAGATAAAAGCTCCAAACTTCCTGTATGTAATTGAATGTTAACATTTAACATTTTATCACAAAAGCGTGGATGTTTGTTTTTCATACTACGTATTCAGATAAAAAGCACGACTTCTGTTTTCGCTTATCCGATTAATATATTTCATATTCAAATTCAAGGGAATTATTGGCTAATTTTAAATGTCTTTCACAGAATATATGATTGTTTTGCCTTTCAATCTAATGGTTGTGTCTTGTGTTTATATAACAAGCAAGACAAAGAAAAGCAATGTTCATTGCATTTGCGTTTATTGCTGCTTTGAAATTACATGTATATCCTTAGACAACACAATTTCAATTTCATTATTTCTTTATGAACAATATGCATCAACAGTCTTTTTTTTAACAAGATGGCATGTTTGCAGAAATTTTAACAGTGATAAACTGTTATGCAACTGATTATTATATTGATAATTATAATGATTTGCCTCATATGAACCCTTTAAGCATTTTACTCTTCGAATTATTGTTTGCTATTTATTTAATATTTATGTTTAAAGAAGTAAATGCGTGTAACTATTACAGTGTTAGTGATGGCAAAGGGTATATGCCTTTCTGTATTATATATTATTGCAAGATGGAATGTTAGCATAAATATATATTCACGTTTGTTTTAGCGACTCTAACAGTATGCTAATAATTCTAGCCGAGTCCTTCCTTGTTATGGAAATGCACATTTTTATCTGATTATCCTAGAAGATAGACACTTAATAACTCCAGGCATCTGTATTACATCTAGCCAGACATTGTTGGTTATTTCATTAATATTCATATCTTTATCAATAAATATACAGTGATAAACAGGGAATTGTTTTACCGACGTAATGTACATAAAACTCTTAACTTAGATATAGCAAGAAGAACGATTGTAATATTTCAAAATTAATCAAGACCAATGTATCATGTCAGTGTTTTGTTTTCCTTTCAGTTATTAATTATCTTTCTTCTCTATTTAATGTGTTTATCATGCAGTCGTAACTAGGAGTCGATTTTCAGTTTTTATATGATGAGTGTTTTTCTTAAGCATTCGTTTTTTTCAAATAATCAAATTGTTGCATTATACGAATTAAACAAATATTATAAATATAATCATATCTTTTTGCAAACAATATAACATGCATACGTGCATTACGTTGAAAAGATAAACTTGATGCGCGTGTTGTAAAAGAAATAGAAATGATGAAACGTAACACAATACCATTTTTATATCATATCTAAACTTATCTTATTTCATCTGTAATTTATCAAATCCGTAACCAGCAAGCATTGATAATATTAATTTAAATTGTGCAAAGGTATGCAACCAGTTTGTCTTTCATATTCTAACATCTTGATCTCACGTGCATGAATTCCTTGCCGTATGTTGCTTATCTATATTATACCTAGACTGCAATATATGCAATATTAAACGGTATAAATCTATATCTTACGAATTATTTTAATAACTTTTATCAACAGTAAAATTAAGGGGAGCGTCGGCCTAGTGGTTAAGGTGTCTGCTTCGCAACCCAGATAGCATGGGTTCGAGCCCTACTCGGGTCACGACCATGTTTCTTCATATGACACCAGTACTGGTTGGTTCCAGGAAGCGGACTCGAAAGTGAATAATATAAGTTGCAAGAAATTGATTCGCAATCGAGCTTGAATTTATATGTTTAAACCAACAGTAAAATTATATTGGTTACATGATTATATGGTTGATTCCCGAAAATGTTGTAACATAGAATAAACAGAATAAAATGTTCCGGAACAAACATTATTTGGGTTTTATCCGTTTATCAATGATTTTGTGCATGCGCCATTCGCTTTTAAGGCATTAAATTACCATATTTATTTCATACACGCAGTTTGGAATTACACTTTTTAAAGTTCAAACAATGTTTTTTGCATCAGATATATAGCTCTATACAATTTTACACACACTTAAATAGTTTAAAAAAAGAAATGACAAAACACCCTCTAGGTTACATTATTGGTAGAGAATGACACCACTCTCGCTTAATTTACCTTAAGCTCTATTTGCTTGGTATAAAGGCATAGTATTGATAATACATTCTCTTTTTATATTGTGTTCAAACAATTGTTTACATAATAATAAAAATATAAGTGAAATGTATTTTTTCATTTATAACAATCATAATATTTCATATCTCTCTATTTATACGTTTTATGTTTCGATGTATTAAGAAGAGGCTTTTCTTAAACTAATTTAAACAAGTAGGTATTCTAAAAAAATGTTTTAAACCCTCTTTAAACGAGTTTCAGTTCTTTTTATGTACTATAATTAATCGAAATATTTTATTATTATATGCAAAAGACGTTAATATCTACGGACGTTATTATCATGACGGTTAGTTAAACTATAATCATGTTTATATTGCGATTTCTCCTTCGTGTCATTGAACAAGAAAACTTTGATATTCCTCGGAATGTTCTTTGATTCATAAATCAAAATAACTTAAAGAAAGATGAAGTTCCTAGTAAAAACATTTCTGGAGATTTGAAACGATGTTGTACATTTATTATTATCTGGTCATGTTTAGACGAGTGTATTCGCTACGGTTACACTTTTGAGGACCATGGACAGGAGCATCGAGAACCTGTGTTTTTCGGTACATGGAATAGTAAGTGATCTGTAAAACTGTCACCAATTTTACATGAATTATTGAACTGCTAAAAACGTGACCATATGATAGCGCGAAATATAAAATTTAAGGATCAATTAAATTAGGAATAACCTATTGAAGAAAAGAAACTAATTGCCGTGATTTTTCTACTTTATAAAATCTCGATTTTACTGTTTCAAGTTGGAATAAACTTCAATATGTATTTGAAGATTATGAAAACGATTTCTTAAAGATTCATATAATCATGATTTAAATTCGTATTTACGTTGCAATACTGCAGTTAAATATCTAGTTTGCATTAAGAATAAAGAAATAATGTTGAAAATAGTTAAATGAAATATCTTTATATCATTAAAATGTTCACCGCAGGAAACCATTTTACAATGTACTTGTTATTATTGTAATATTGTTATATACTGATGTTTGCTCCGCATAAAACGGTTGCATCCATTCTTTCTAGAGAGAAATTCCAATACCATGGACTAGCATCGAAGAAAACAAAATAATAACCGATGTGTTTTTTGTAGTGGAAATAGTTAAGTTGATCATGCTAGGGAAAACGGATCACCAACTTTTACCATGAATAAATAATATGACTGGCACAAAGGAACATCATATGATAGCTGGCAGAGAATATACAAAATATTTAAAGATAAAATTCAATATAGGATACCGTATTGACTACGGATTGGAAATGGAAATATATTATTTGCCAGAAAAGTGATTTTTGTTACTTGACGTTAATAAAGATCTCGAAACATGTTGTAACAAACTTGGAATTTCAATTTCGAATAAAGCATTCAATAATGTATCTTCGAATGATCTAGAAACCACGAATTTCTAAAGATTCATATAATCATTGATTTTGTAATTTCGTGGACTTTGGAGCGTTGCAAGTACAGTGCAGTTGTTATATCTAGTTTGCATTAAGGAATAAAATGTTATATATCTGTACTTAAATCAATTATATGTTGTATGATTTGAATTTTAAATATGAAACATGGGATGTACATGCGATAAGATGTGGAGGCACAAACTGTCAAAGGTCGGGCATAAATACGACAGTTTAGATGGACCACCTACTTTGTCTGATGCGCAGAAAACTGCTATTCGGAATAATTGGCAGCTTTTAAAATGCAATGTAGCGAACATTGGAGTAATTACTTATGTCAGGTTTGTATATATTTATCATTAATAAACATGCATACCTTTTAAGAGAATGAACTCAAAATGCCAAAGACGACTGTTTGTATTTATTATAATTATCAATAATCAAATTATTAATAAAAACGTGACTGTTTAAATATAATTCTGTTCCTTTTCTTCTTCTAAATCCGATCTAATTTGATAATAAGCTGGTAAGATAAAAACAAAACATCTTTTAACTGGAAATCCTTTGAATCAAATTGCTAAAATGTGACTTGCAAAAGTTTGACATTTACGCTTTAAATTAGTAATATGCATTAGAATTTGCTTTTACGTCATTCTGATAGATATTAGTCCATCATTGTAAAGTAAATGTGGAAGTACCTGGTATCTGAACAATTGTATTAAAAACCCTTTATGTATATTTCACGGCTCTTGTTTTCTTAAATTTTGTGAAAACTAAAATATATATAATGAATAGACAAAATATGTAACACGGTTATTTTTTTATACATTTACAGAAAAGCCAAAAAATGTTAACTATATAATATTTTAGCACTGAATAATATGTTTAACAACACAAACTTTCTAAATCAAATTTCCTTTCATCGAATAATTTCAGCAACCAAAAACCTCTGTCAGATGTATGTATAAATTTCTTAAATGTCCGAATATTATCACATCTGTACATTTTTAATATTACTTTAAGTTTTGACAATGGGTGTCTTTTAGCTTACAGCATACGAGGCATGGAAGATGTTTTATTATATCATTTTGGAAACATTCAATTTTCAGTATGTTTGAAAGTAGGCCAGAATTGTTGGAAATATTTTCAAAGTTTAAAGGGCGGGACCTGATGGAACTCAAGCGAGCAGGTTTACTGCGACAGCATGCACTTAGAGTCATGGCAACAATAGATAAAGTCATAACCCGACTTGATGAGCCTACTGCTTTGATAACTTTGCTCAAGGAAGCTGGGGCACATCATAAGCTTTACAAAGTTCCACAAAATTATTTAAAGGTATATGTCGCCTATCAATTAGTTTACTTAGTTCATGTTAAGAGACAAACTTTCATTTAATAAGTAGAACAACACGCTTTTAGCATTTTAGGGAACATACGTATTCATATCACGTGACGATAAAACCAATATAACGCCATCATGTTCCATTTGCCAACAAGCTTTCGTTTGAAGTTTAGTTTTAACAATTTATAATGTTTCTAATAACTCTCCCGTATTAGTTTCAGTTGAAACTTTTGTTTACCTTGCGCGCATTTTTCTAATACGCCAAAATAAGTTTATAATTGAAATGTAAACTTTAAGTAAACTTCATGTTTATTATCATATTATTTTGTTATTTCAGATAATTTTACCTCATTTTCTGAATGCAATCAAGCCCCATATTGAGGACCATTGGTGTGATGATTTAGAGAACGCTTGGAAAACAATGTTTGATATAATAATTTACTACATGAAAGAAGGTTACAAAGAACCGAAACATTGTCATAAAGAGTATATTGTGGAGTCATCGACATAAGCTTGTGATGTGTATTCAAACTGAAAAAGGGACAAGTGAGAAAATAACAAAAGAAACTGAAACTTACTATAAAATGTTGTGTTAGCGCACACAACTTTAATTGTTTTCTCTCATAATATGTGCATTATATACTAACTTACCATGTCTGTTAACCAATCGCAACTTTTCGGCCCTTTCCGTTAGTCTTCGGATAAAGACCCCGAACACAATAGTATGAATACACAGAATAAGGTATTTCGGTCTCACCTACGCTAAGAAACTAGACATGTAAACAAATAATAATTTAATGCTGGTAGATGTTGACGAGTTTATTTCCAATATATCAAGTAAATGCCCACCTAAAATAAATTAATCCATATAGATACAAAAGCAAACAATACATTACTTGTATATCAATTATTATGGTTGTAGAAACCGAAAGTACAAAATGCCAACCTGTTGACATTTAGTTGCATTTGTTGATAATTTTACAGCAGTGGGTATATTTAAATTAGAAATGGTTGTCAGTCATATTTTTAATCATAACTGTGCCGAAACAGTCTTAATTTTCTTTTGGATGTTAATTATATGTACGTTCGTCTTACATTATGTTTACATCTGAAACCACGTGGTAGAACTACTTTCACTCCAGATTGTTTCCGATGTTATTTTAGATAATAGCCGACGATGGTTAACTATTATGATAACCAAATAAACCCGTGTTATACATGTATAGTCATAGGACTGTTATATAGTTATGCTTTCTTGAGAAACAATCATTGATAAATATTACCTAGAAGATTGTGCCATTTACACCAGACGTACTTAAAATGGGATCTTAATTTTTTTTACATTTGTCTTTTGAATAGTTAAGCAAAACGGAATTAATTAAAGTGTCCTTTAAGGATAATGGCAATATCCGTTTATTTGTTTTTAAATAAAAATAAAACTACTAAAAGTATAAAACATATGTCAGAATAATAGACTCAAGAGATATATTTTACTTTTTTCAAAGGTTTACTTTTTCTAAATTTTTATAATAAAAGATTTTTATTTCGAACTTTCATCATTATTTGATTTTGTTCATAGCAATGATGCATATAGATTTTGATGCATAGCATAACAACTCTACATATATTATTATACTCTATATTTTGTCCTTTGAATGGTTAATGAAAACAGCGGGGAAAGTAATTGTTGTTCTTTTTTTGGCAATGCCAGACTAAATATAGTTCTTTCAATTAAAATAACCTTTAGCAGCAACGTTTTAAATATTGCTTTTTGCAAAAAAATACTTGAAATTCTAAAACGTTTCGTTAATTAAGAATGAGATATTTAAAGTAATAAGATTCTCAAATTACACGATAACACTTAAAAAAGCAGTTAAAGAGTGTTTCTGTTTTATTTTTATTTGGTTTCAAATCACCCATCACTTAGCATAGGTTATTGTACTATTTCTGTAAAAAAAAATAAAATAAGCACATGTTCACATCACTATAACTAATTGGCCATAGAAATCATCTCGTTTAGAAATGTGTTTTCCCATTTTACATCCAGGTCGCAAAGATCAATTTTATCTTAATCTGATCTTAGCCAGAATAGTTTATTTCCAGTATTTGTAAATAAAAGGTTATTGAAGAATTAAAGCAAACCCCTAATGACTGATTGAAATTATATATAAAGAATAACGTAAACTGTTTACTAAATGTATAAAAGGTATAGTTTAATATGTTTTGTTGTTTTTTTGTACCAGACTGACTCAACCAAACTATAGTTTTTGGGAATGTTGGCCGAGGCTCGATATCATTTCATCTATTTTTGACTGTAGACAGTTTTTCTGAGAATGGTAGTTTAATTTGTGGAAAGATTTGGATTAGTTTAAACGTTTACAAAAAATGACAGAAAAGTGAAATGTGAATATTAAAAGATGTAGTTACCTGTTTTTTCCTTATTATTGAAATAAATGTGTTATTGATAAGACAATGCTTATGTGTTTGAAAACTGATTTGTCAGGGCTAAAATATAAATATATCTTAAAATATTTCAAGTATCGTCATGCCAAAACGCAGAGGTATAGGATATCATGAAAGGTATTAAAGTGTATAATTATCATGAAAGACTGACATTTGAAGTCACTTTAGTTATGAAACTCTTATATGATTCATCACACTGTTTTAATTCTCTGATACATCAAAATTAATTTAATGAACTTTAAAATTAACTGCACAAGATCAAACCTAACATAATATAGATATATACAAGTATTGTGAAGAATGGAAACCTATAAAGAAGTTCCATAATTAAAACCGTTGTGGTTTTATTGAGCTTGTTTATGGTTCTTATAAACGGTAATAAGTGGTAGCTCACGTTCCCTGGCAATGATTTAAAAAACATACTTCATTTTGATATGTAATGCTGTAATTACGAATTTAAAAACGTACACAATGTTGATATTATTATGACCCTGACCTACCTCGTATTGACTATTTTCGTTTCAATTTCTATGAAATGCAATACTTGCGACAATCAGTAATAATCGGTGGTAAAGGTGTATTGTGTAGTACTACGTGCGAAATAACATTTCCAAATGCGATTTTCATGTAACAAAATTAAGACTGACAGTGTATTTTGGATATTCAAAACTCTTATTAAGGCACACCTTTATTTTCTTTATTTCATTCATCCATTAAAATTAAAAAGGTGTTTGCACTAGATAATGCTACTAAATATAATTTTGTTTACTCAATTGTTTCTGAAAATTGTATTAAGTTCATGTCTGTAGATATTAAATTTAAAACGCAAAATGTATTAACGAATTTATGTTTGTTAAGATATGTTCAGACACGAAAAATATAAACCAGTAATTTAATAAGGAAAATAAGTAGTAGTTTTCTATATAAATGTATATCGGGATGAGTAATGATTAATCAATTTGATTTGTCTAAGCAATATCTTTAAAAGCATTTTAATATGGATATCAATAACAATTTGGAAAGAAATCATGGAATAATATTGACTTTCATCAGATAGTATCTAAGTATGTGCATTGTGCGACACCATCTAGCATGCACTTCCTAATAATGTAAAATAAAAACAGATTCAGTGAAATATTGCGTGTTCAAAATTGCATTTAAATCAAATAACTCATTTGATATCATATCGTGGTTCCCCCGCAATATCATTACATATAATTGTTCATTCATTCACATCAATCTTACGAGATAGGCATTTACTTCCGTAGTTTATTATAAAAACATGTTTATATAAAATTGTCGAACCAGATGTCGATCAACTCGCATACACAGGAAACATAAAACATGATTGTATGCAATTTATCTCTATTTTATGGTTTTTACCACAGGTCCGTATTTTCTGATTTGTGAGTATACTAACGTGCTTCTAAATGGATTATATGATATTAAGTAGGCATTTTATGTTTATGCGTTATTTGTTATTTTAGATTCTAAGTTATATAACACCAAAACACACCGAAATCGCTTTTGAACATTGTACATGAGATACTTAGAAAGCCATTTACGAGGTTCCTTTCTAGGACTTTTATATCGTTGAAAAGAAAAACAGTGATTAAAAAAATGACGCTGATAAAAATATCGTTTTCAAACGGATTAATATTATTAATAATGACTTTTTTTCACGACAATAAATATTTTCAAATATTTTCATGATATTTTAGTACATATATGTTTATTTTGATTCCCTTTGAAAACGTTTAGAATAATTTATTAAGCTACACAATTTTATGAAATGACATTACATTAGCAAAAATATTATTGTTAGACTTTTTAATCCTGCTTTTATTTTTGTGTGTTTTAACGAACACTTCACAATGGAAATTTGAGTTTGATATTGATTTCAATACATCAGACATTGATCATTTATTTCCATATTTTACTTTTAAAATTACTCATTCATTAGCAGCAGAAAAGAAAATGAATGCTACAATCATTATGAAAGCTGCTTTATCTTGTAATCAAAGATAATTTCGTCTCATAAGCACTGCATCAAGACTTATCCCTACTAAAATAGAGTATCCACTTACCTATGACAACTTGCTTACGTATCAGTCTAATATTTTATCTGCATATATATTCCCTTGCTTGAGAAGTCAGTGTAATACAAGTAATGTTTCGACATTGTTTTAAACACATTGCAGGACATGTGCCATCGTAATGCTTGAAATTCTTAATTCAGTATTTTTTTTTACAGATTTCAATTATTTCAACTATCTGTTACCTGCTTTGATTAATGAATTTTAAATATTCGTAGTGGTAGCATTTTAAGATAACCCCATTTTAAACAGTAAAATGTTGAGCACATTTAACATCTTAATGAAATGTTGCACAATTCAATACATTCTTTAATAGATAAACATATTATTTTATCCAAACAAGAAGGTATGATTTGAAGTCTAATCGGTTTAAGTTGAAACACTGCACTCAGTTCATTATGTTGCTCAAAAACATGCAGGACAATTTTCATGCAAAGGTAATTACCAATCATTTATTTCGAACCTGTAAATATTGATTAAAGTTACAATTTCTTTACATTTGTTTTGACGTACAACATGATTAAATTTAAAACCGATGTACATACTTTCTGAAATGAGCAATACAATAAACTTTTAAAAACCAAATGTTTTGTCATTTAAAATTTAGATAATGTATTCTATTCATTTTGGTTTTCTAACGATCCGGTTGACTTGTAAACTTGACAACTGTTGAACAATGGTACTATCTAAAACGAGTTTTATTTCAAAACAGGATTTATGAATAAAAATATGATAAACAAGATCAACAAGTAAAGTTGAAAAATAACTATACAATACAGCGAGATAGAATTTATTTTAATAAATAGCAAATCATTAATTTTAAATACAGCACTCAAAGGAATGAAGTTGAAAGAAAAGAGAACGCAAATGGAAATTCATTTCCGTGTACATTGTATTATATATAGCCTCACATTTCATTAACAATTTATCATCAGATTAAGTTTTGTAAAACTTAAAACACAAAACCTCGCTTCTGTGTGGATCTGTCTCAGCTCCTTTCTTTTCTTGAATGATTCGACGTTAACAAGGACAAAAATGGCTATGATTTACGTCTAATATGTCAAGATTTTGCTTTGGAATGTTCTTATCTCTAGCATTAGATATTACGATAGCTACTGTTTCCGTTGTATGTATCTGAATAAGATCTTTAACACCGAATGTTGTTAACTAGCTGAAATTTATGCTTAAAATAGCACCAGATTTTATCTCAATCCCTGTGAAACTTAACTCCCACATAATTTCTTGTAAACTGACAGTTACAGGTCATTGCTGACAAAACCAATATGTTTGACCAAATACAAGTTTTATATATTTATTCCTGGATACTTGATTTTATTATCTTTTGTATATTTTTACAAACACTATTGAAGTATGTTTAAAATTAAAAATAAGATGATGGAAGTATTTTCCTAATTGAAAGTAATCGGATTGGATATGGGTGTGCTGGTTTGTTAAGACAAAATTCTAAAGGTTTAGAGTATCAACGATAGATAAGGAAATATCCCATATTGGAAAGACACATGACAAGCTACGCATAGTGCCAAATGGTTACGTTAGTTTTATGACAGGTGATCTTAATTATGTGATACGACGAAGAAGCATTTCCCCTGCATGTTACAACTTATAAGAGCATGCATCTAAAAACTGGACCATTCAAAGCAATAATCCACTGATAAGACTCAATGCTAACAGTGTCTAGCGCTTTTATGGTTGAGTGCCTCCTTATTGCCAGTGTTTATTTAAAAAAAACATAATAAATCACTTGCAGACAAAATTGTGGATGTCAGTTGCGCCCCTTCATTCGTAAACATTTTATTGAGCAATGACAAGAATGAATGGAACACAATAATTCAACATCTGTCACCTCACTTCCACTATATTACCATTTAGATAATGCATTGCAACCATTGTTTCCTAGCGATATGTATAACCTGCTTAACATTGTTGATAGTAAAATTACTGGATAAGTTTGAAAAATGTATGTGATTAAGAGATACACAAACATTTGCACACATTATAAAATGTTTAAAATCTTCGGTAAATTTTACAGAATTGGAAATAAGAATTATGATAAAGCAACGTTTTGCACCAATAATCAAATAATATTTCTTTTGTGAACACAGGTTGTTTTATTTTCATTAGCGACAACGTATGCAAAAAATAAGAAATAAAAAAAATATGAAAAATAATAATGCAAAAATCTAAATAATATATAGAATTCAGTAATATAATACTTTCATATATTACTTACATAAATGTAAATGAGCTAAACCTGAGAGTGGTTGATATTTTTTTCAGAGATTTAACAAAAACCACAATTCACGAATAAGTGGCTGTCAAATAAGCTTGTTGATTATCAACTGTGTTTTGCTTATATAAGTAAAATCAATATGCTTTTCAGTCCGATCTTTTCCCAAACATTGAAATTTCACTTCACATGAGGCTGGGTGATTGGTTTGGATGGTGTGAACAGTGTCTTAGTGAGATTATGTTATAGAAAGAAGAAAGACTACGACAGGGAAAAATCGAGATACGCTGGCACTGTTTATAAAATCCGACACCTAAATGATCTTTAATCTTTATAGAACAGCAGTAAATTTACTGTAGATAACTGATCAACAACGCTTGTTTTCATATCCTGTGCACTGGATTAAGGTATTCGAGTAATATCTTAGCGACGTAATTTAGCATGACAATTGTTTGATATACTATATGCATTAACATTTAATCTGAGTAAAATATCATCAGCTGTTACAAGCAGGAAATTACGCTTGATAAAGAATTTAATTTCCTTTGCAATATAATACTGTCTAGATAGATATAGAGCTATTTTTCTTATAAATAATTCATTTCATGTGTTAAAGCCCGTCTAC